AGCAAGCTTGGGATCCTGCAAGTCAGGCCGGAGCGTGGTGAACTTCTTGAGGTCGTGCACTTGTGTCAGCGTCACGCTCTCAAGGAGGCCCCGCTCAAAGGCATTGGTGGACTTCTGGGCTTTGTGTGTATCGCCTCCGAACCTCTTGACTTCTCGATGCTTGCGCTCATGTACCCAACAGCTGACCAAAGTCCCATGATGTTGCAACATGCTAGCTAAATGGGCAGAGTAGTGGTGCTTCGGGACAAAGACACCCTGGCCGTATGCAAGTTTGACATGCTGGAGGTGTGAGCGGACCAATTGCTCCAGATCGGCATGGCTGGTCAAGCCTTTGAGTGTGCCTTTGAGAGCGTCCAGCACCAAGCAAAGCGCCAAATACGAGTCGATAGCGTCCTTGACAGCGCCAGCAGGATGTGGGACCAACTCTATGAGCAGAACTCGTAGCACGGGGTACAGGGCAAGTGCTTCCGAAGCAGTGCACTTGAGGTCCGCGTCGTTCCGCTTACGCTTCTCGAACACGTTCTGGCCCGTGACGCATGTGCTCCGCGCTCTCTTTGGCCACGTGAACCGCTGCAACCCGTCGTGGACGGCCTTGTTTGTGACCCCAGCTTCGACGAGAGCTTGCATGAGATAGCCAACCTCAGAGTTGAAAACCCCATTCACAACGTACGTGTGCATCCAGTCAAAGCAAGTTACGGTCACAGGCCCTCCAGCGATCCAGCCAGCGCACGTCTCATCAAACAACAGGCCGTGCTCGCAGTAGGTCAAGCCAAGTGAGTGCTGGAGACGGTCGAAGGCCACCCGGCCGCAGTTGTCTTTGCGCTCCTTGAGCAGGCCTGCAGCTTCTCGGATGCTCCGGTCGGTGGCGGGCTCAAACTTGGTAAAGTCGGTTTCACTGATGGGAACCAACGTGCCCGAGCTGTCGTGCAAGTGCAGGTCCGAGGACAAGGCAACCACGTTTTTGCAACACATGCAAGGGACTGTCCCGCTTGCGCCCTTCACACTCCACATGCTCAGTCGCCAACAACACACCCGACTCGCGCAAAAAGTAAAACACTCTCACCGAGCAGGTCCAGCATGATGCCTCGGCGCATGTCGTAAGGTTCACGGAAAAAGGCTGCAACAGTCGCTTGGGCGACCTGGCTCACCCCAGACTGAATATCTGAAAGATGGCAAGAGCGGATGGTCAAGATGTTGAACCACAAGCACTCAGTGTGCAAGCCTTCTGACAGCTCCATGAATGACCAGTAAATGGTGAACATCTTGCGCTTGTTCGCATGAGCAAGCGCATTCCCTGGCACCACTTCGTCCGAATAGACAACCAGGCGCCAGGGCCGCGCCGTCGTGCACGGGAACTTGCGAAGCTGGGCCTTCACCAGCTCCTGCAGGCCTGGGGACTCGCGCATGGCGTTGCAGAGATGCGCGCAGGGGTTAAGAATCGGAAAGGGCCTCACCTGCCCGTTGGTGAGCTGTAAGGACACTTCACCCCACAGAGGGCCGCAAGCCGTTGCAGGTTCAAGGGCTGCAGCTCGCGCACGCTTCAGTGTTCTCCTGCTGGAGTGTTCTGGCAGGCCACGCTCACGCACTCCCTGCAGGATTTGCACCAAAGCAGTCTGGGACACATGTGACCTGCCAGCGCCAAATGTCAAGAGCTCACGCCCCTGCCCAGACATGATCAACAACCGTCACGGCAGCGAGGCTTGCTCAAATCAAATCC